CCCCCCCCCCCCCCCCCCCCCCCAAGAGTAATTTCATGAGCCAGGTGGTTAAACTTCTCACTGGAAAAGTTTTTTCTCTGGGAAATCCCATCCTCCATTAGTTCCAAAGTAATAAAAGTGGAAGTCACGGAATTAAAGTGGAAGAAAAATAGGAGTTCCTGATTTCCCAGGTGCTTTTTTTTTTTTTTTTTTTTTTTTTTTTCTCTCTCTCCACACTGAGGCTGGATTTACAGAAGGGATGAGTGTTCACAAATGAAATGTAAATATAAGAAGCTGTATGAAGCAAAAATCTCTGGAGGAAAAGAGAAGGCTCAAATTTATGATTCCTTTTGACTGTGACATGTCTGGGCTTCAAACCCCAGCCTGCAGAGTGAGATCTGATTTCACTAGGGATGACTGTGCTCACAGTGGTATTTGTGATGCACTCAGACACTGCTGTAATGACCGCATTAAGAGTCCCTGAAGAAATAAGTCATCCTTTTTTTTCAGTCTGACAACTTTGCCATAAATAAAACACAATTTAGAGTGGGAGAATAGGCTCTGCTAGTCTGGGGTGGATGACTGAGGAACAAGCCTGAGTATGTCCGTGCTGTACTCTGAGTGTGCTCAAAGACTAGACTGTGGTACCAAGCAGATGTGATTATGCCAGTTTTTGGGATGTTTATGTATGTTCAGGTGTGATACTGCACCAAATGAATAAATCCTTCCAGAACTGGTGTAGTGCAGAGACCTCTGGCTCTGGATGCACATATAGAGGATCTAGGCCTGGTGCTGCATATGATCTTCCTTTTTCCAGATAAAGGCAAGGCAGTTGTGGTGCAGTTATAAGACAATTAATAGGATCAGCCGCATCTCTGCTGCCTGTTTATAGATGGCTGCAGAGGTGCTGAGGCATCTGTAGGTCACTGCAAATTTCCATCTCAGAGCCAGCATCCTGCACACACTTGAGTGTTCTGCAGAGATCAGTGCTTGTTCCTGGCTGGCCCTCAAGGAGCACACGAGTGGGCAATTCTGGGGATCCTTATGCCTCTAGGCTCATCTTACTCCGTATTTCAGCATTTTATAATTTTGGTTCCATTAGCTTTTCCATTACTAGCTCAGGCTAAAAGAAGGGAAGCTGGATGGAGACACAATAGCTTTTCTGGACCAGCAAACACAGGCAGGGGCCTGACCAGCCCGAGGGACACAGCACTATCCCAGGTGCTCTCTGGCTGTCTCCCTCCTACCTGTCACTCAGCACAGAGCAGCCCTAGTCTCCATCCCCCTGACCCCTGCCTTGCTGCCACCTCCTTCCTTACTCTTGGAGCCCTCTCCTTTCTCCTCACCTCCTCCTTCCTCCCTGCTTACTGTGACTAGGGAGGAGAATGCAGATTTATATGTTCCCTACGTGTGCTTCTCATTTATTCTGGTTTGTCTCTGGCTGTTGATTTCTCCTCCTTGTAGGTATCTCTTAGCTCTCCTCTTCCTTTCTCTTTGACCTTTCCTCTGCTCCTCGTAAGGCATTCTCTGCTCTCATGCTGTGAAATATTCGTGCTGCCTCATGCTGTGAAATGATCTCTCTCACGCTCTCTCTCTGGCACAATGCTCAGCACTTTCTGGAGGATGCTGTTTCACAGAAAGTACAAGAGCATAGCATCTGACTGCTGTCTTCTGCATCTGTTTGATCAGATACAGTATTTTAAAGGTGCTTCTACAACATCAGAGATACCTTATCTATCTTAGCATTTTTCTTCCTGGCTCTGTTGAAATATACATCAAACAGTTTATTTTTTTAAGCCAGCCTGAGGTCACTGGCATGCGCTACCATCCCAGCTGGCACACCTTGACTGGGATAGGGCTGGTTGTGTTATTCTCCATTTCCCCTTTAAAACACTCCATCTTTCTGACACTCCAGCTCTCGCAGAGAGATTGTGTGGTCAGGTGACACTCTGACAGGCGCTTTGCTGCAGTGTGGCATCCTCAGAGCAGCTACAGCTCTGTGCACAGTGTGTGGGCCCTTGGAGCATCGGGGCCACGATGGGGCCGTGCATCCATGCAGCACCTGTGGTACCAGTCTGTGGGCAGGCTTTTTGGGAACCCATTCCTGTGAGTGCTTCAGGCCTGAGCCGATCTGGTGCTGCCTCATCACAGTGATTGGTTTTTATTGATCTCTAAACCGCTGAATCATTAAACAGAGGTCATGAAAGCATCTTTATTCTGCTGAAAACATGTGCTCATCCTTCCTGGTATTGCAGGGGACAGGGGAGAGCGAGAGACATGGGGGCTGGGAGAAACAAGGTGCAGCAGTGACCTGGGCAGAGTGGGGAACTCAGAGATGTGGTGGCTGAAATGCAGGGCCAGGAGCCGGGCCACTTCCCATCCCAATGATATTACTGGAGGTAGTCTCCTACCCCATGACACACTGGGTTCTCTCCGTAAAGTAACAGACACAGAAATCTTTTTCCCTTCTGGAAGGAGGTAACACATTAACCTGCTGCTGCCCACTGCAGCCCTCCCAAGTGGTGGCACGTGGCTGTGTTGCCTACCCTGCCCCAGGGCACTGAGATGTCCACTCCTCAGCTCTGGCTTGAAGTTGCAGTCTCTTGGTTTCTAACCCTAGAGAAAGGCACTTCACTCTCCCATGTTCTCGTGCTGCAGAAGAGTTAATGCGGAAGGAGAGAGGAATTTAATCTGCTCTACTATTTATGCCTTAAATTTATTTTCTTACTCTCCTTCTTTAGGCCATTTTTTTTCAATCTGGAGAGATCCTTCTGGGTAGAAAAACACTTATTGAGGGGATTATGTTTCACTCTTTACCAGCTAAGCTACAGACAAATATTTCCCCTGATAGTGGTGTTAGACGTCCCTCTGCTCCCGGCTCCAGCAGCAGGCGGTTCAGTCTGAGCCCCACGGCCACCCGGGCTCTGCGGGCGCGGATTCCTTCGGAAGGGTAAATACGAAGGACCGCACCGCAGGTACCGCGCACTCGCAGAGCAACCGCTCGGGAGTGCTCCCGGAGGGCTCGGAAGACGGGTTCTGCGGCACGCACCCACTGCGCCGTGCGGGGAACTCCGGGCCCAGACCCCGCAGCCCCTCTGCGGTGCGGGAGGGGCGGAAGGCGATGCGAGGCAGTTGGGAAAGAGTTAAGGGAAGGTGGCGGGGAAGGCCGGCTGTCGGAAGCGAGCATGTGCAGATTGCAACCGCATCCACACTACGGGCGAGTGTCACGGGCGCGTTTCGCCTCTCGCCGTCGCCGGTCGCAGGGCACCCATGGACCCCGGTGAGGCGAGGGCCCGCGGCGGGGGGGGGACGCGACGGCCGCCCGGCACCTGCCCGGGAGGCGCGCTGGCGCCTGGCGGCCTCCCCGCAGCCGGAGATGCGCCGCCCGGGGCGGAGGGCGGGCGCCCGGCTCTACCGCTTTCGGTTTGGCGGCAGGGGCCGCCTGCACCGCCGGGCCGCGGCCGCGCCTCCCGCTCGGCGGGCGGTCGTAGGGTAACCGGGCGGGCGCCGGTCTCGGGCAGACAAAGGCGGCGGCGGCGGCGGGATCCGCAGTCGCCCCCTCCCGGGAGCAGCCGTGGGGAGCCGCGACCCCGAGCGTAGCCACCGCTGTCGAGGGGTGCGGCGGTACGGGGGTGCGGAGGGAGCTGCGGGGATGGGGAGGCTGGGGCTGCTTTTCTTCTGAGATGTGACGTGTTTTGAACAAAGCGAGATGTTGTGAAATGTCCCGGTTGTATTGGTTTCACTAACTCTTTGTGCTGGGAAAGGACAAATCCGTGTTCAGCCCCCCAGAACAGGGCGGGGGGTGGGGGGCCGACAACCCCCTCAGTGATTCCTCCGCAGCCCTGGGAACTGCTCGCGCTGCGGTGCCGGGAGGTCAGGAACCCGGATATCAGCACCACTGAAACGAGGATATCCTTCTGCCGCTGCTTTTACATTTAAATCGGTCTTGGGATGTTTGTTCTTGTTCCATTTTTGGTATGGAAAACATCCAGAACAGCTGAATTTTTGCGAAATGGAAAATGTGCTTCCTCCCGCCCATCCCCTGCAGCAGGGTTCTGGCTACTGTCCCCTGGTTGTGCGGCGCGGGGACGCAGGGAGGATCGCCCTCCCTCTGTCCCCTCTCCGTCTGCCGCTGTGCAACGCGGGGCTTCCCGGGGAGCTCCGCATCGCCGGCCCGGGGGGAGCGCCGACGTGCAAAGTCCCCCAAATCATGCAGCATAGGCGGCGCATCTCTGTCAGATGAAATGTTTGGTATTGTTCTCTGGCATCATGTGCTTGGCAGGTTTGTTCCAATTCCCTCCCAATTCCCAGGAAGAATATTACCTGCAGGGGATGGGGATATTTGCAGGTGAGGTGTTGGCAGTTCCACGATGGAGCCTTATGTTGAGATTTGCAAAGGGACCGGATTGCCCAGAGTGTTGTTCGTGGCTTGTGAGTACACTCATGCATCAATACATGAGCTGCATCAGCTGAAAACGGGGCTCGCTGCTGCTTGGGGATAAATAGAAAGCCCTGAAAAGATGAAACGTCCACAGGAAATAGCAAAAGAGGAGGGACTGAGATGCAGGTGTGAGCCTCTGTGGCCACTTTTGCAGGTACTGGGGAATGCACGGCAGGAAATCTGCCCACAGGGCACCGCCATGCTCACGGTGTACCCTGAGGGCTCCCAAACTGTGGTGCCCCTCTGTACATGTGGTTTTCTGTGCCTCTGAGGCATGATCCTGCTGCAGGACAGGAGGCTGAAGCAGCTTCCTCTGGGGAGGTCTGATTTTGGAACTCTGGGTGCTGGGTCCCAGGGCAGGCTGCAGGACAGAACCAGGGGCCACAGTGTGAGTTGTGGGCAGTGGTGGATGGGGGCTGAGGGCAGCACAGGGCCCTGCACAAGTATGGAAGGTGCCTGGCCATGGGGCTCTGCAGTTCTACTGGCAGTGTCATAGCGCGAGGTTAAAATGAACTTAACCTTGAAGCGAGGGGGGAAGGGTTCTTTGGGTGAGGTGGTGGATCTGGCAGTGTTTGGAGCCTTCAGACTGAGGTATCTTTTTAAGAACTGTACTTCAGTTCAGCAGCTTGAAAAAGTTCTAAGGAGTGCAGATGCAGGATCCCCTTGGCCTTTTAATTTGTTAGTCTGCTTATTCCTTCACATCAAGAGGGTGAGTTGTGCTGCAGTGTCCTGAGATATGCACATCACTCATTCATTTGGGTACAGTGATGGCTGCACCCAATTCTCACACTACAGGGCTGTGGGTGGTCCCTTGTGCTGTGCAGGAAGGGTGCTCTCTCAGTGCGCAATTCACCCAACAACTGCAGTTCTTGTTTTCCTCTGCAGCACCAGCAATGAGCCAGGTGAGGCTGATTGCAGTGGGAGGTCTGGGGAGGTGGGAGGTGATGGCCCTACCAAGAGCCATCTGAACCCCAAGAGGAGTTTCTGGTCATGGAAGATGAAGGAGAAGCAATTGGGAGAGCATCCAGAGAAGAGAAGCCCAATGCAGTGGTATGAAGGAGTCCTGATGGCTGGCCTGGGAATTGCAGAATAAATGGGAAATTTTATTGTTGGCATTTGTGCATTAGGACTCTTTGTTTCTGGGTTGCATTTAAGGATGTTGTATTTAAGGAAATGAAATCAAGTTGTTTGTTTGTTTTGTGGATTTTTTTTCCTTAGTCTCTGGCTGCTATTATTACAAGGTAAAACAAGAGAGCTACTAACATGACTAATTAAAGGGCAGTAGTGTGTCGTTCCCCTGGGCTAATTATTCTGTAGAAAATGGGTCAATTACTTGGATAAATTGTTTGCCAGCAGGAGGCAGGAAAAGGCCCTGCTGCTCCCTGTAGAATGCTGCCTATCTCCAGGTGAAGGCTTTGGAGAGTTGCTGGAGGCCAGGGTGTTCAGATGCTTAGTGCAGAACAGGCAGGGAGTGGAAATGTCTCACACTGTACAGCAGAAATAGTGGTCCTTGCGTTTCTGTGACAACACATGAAACAGGAGCATCCAGATGGTATCTGAGCTCTTGGTGAAAAGACTGTGCAGGCAGCCAGAACAAGGTTAGTGAAGGCTTAGGCTTTCTGGACAGATGACCAACATCTCTGCTCATTTCTGATTAGTCAGAGGTCAGAGTTCCTGGTGGGAAATGGTGCTTCCAATAAGATGTGGTGCAAGATAGAGCCCGGACACTTCATGGGCTGTTTAAAACAAAGCTGAAGGGCATCTACCTGTAGGTATATACTGCTCTTTAACGCATTCCCGTAGGCTAAGTAAAAGTTCAGCTGCTTTAGAAATTTATTTGTAGCCACATCTGAATGAGATTGTCATTTGTGTATGAGTTCAGAGGCGTCTAATTGGTCTGTATAAAAGAAAGTAGCATTTTGTTACCTTTGTTTTGTTCTAGATTTTTATTGTTGCCAGCACAGAAGTTTGCCACAACCTTATCTCAATCCCCTCCGCCCTCGCAGGCTTCTGTCAAAGCTGGATTAGATTACAGAGAGAATCTTCTCTACCACAAATGTGTGCCGTCTTGCTTTCATTGCATAAGATCCAAGCATTAGGAGTCATTGGATAAGTGCTGATAGCACAAACAGCAAAACAGGGAGGGCTCCTTCCCAGCTGCCCCACGCTCAGGTGCGCTGGTGCTGAGCCTGCACCAGGGCTGCTGCCAGGCACCGTGTTGTGCTTCTCGACTCATGTGGGAGATAACGAGGTATTTCTGATGGGGGAAGCTCTCTTCTAGTACGGACAGCTGTGACACAGCGTGCTCTCAAGTGCCTGTTTTCCTTGGTTTGTTTTTGCCTGGAATATATGAGTGGGAGATGGTCAGACTCACCCAGCTCCATCAGCTTAATTTGGTTAAGAACTTTGGGCTGAACTGCATCCATACGCAGCTCTAGGTGGGGTGGGTTCTTGCTGTGATTGGTGGTGTTGGCAGAGCTGGGTGTGCACAGCCTGCAGGATGCTCTTCAGCCGAGGGGTCCTCCTTGGATCTTGGATTGGCTGAGGCTCACGATAAGGATGTTTCCAGTACGTCCCAGGAGAGAAATGATTTCTTTTTGTGAGAAATGATTTCTTTTTGTGATGCCTGGTGTTTTCAAAATGTGCATGTGGTTCCCACTAGCGGCATGATAGGTGCCATGTGATTGGGTTTATTTTGATCCAGCAGGTCTTTCCAAGGCAGGTCTCTCTATTAAGCCTTTAATTGGTTGTGGACTTGCACAAGAGCTGCAGGATGTAGGGCAGAGTTTATAAAATTGCTCTAATGTCTACTAGCAAGAGAGGAGCTGCGGTGAAAGTAAGATAATTACTTGGTAGCAGTATAGAGCTTGGCTGTCCTTGCTTGGGGTTTCTCACTGTGGGTTAATACTTTGCCATGGGGATGAGATACTGGGTTTCCAAAACTTTACCTTTGGTTACTTCAGCTGACAGGAACTATGTGCTGTAAGTGGAGCTCCAGGCAGCTGAGCTGCTTTCTGCGCAGTTGAAGACAGAGGTGCATATATAAAGTAGACACTTTATGTTTTAATGGAATATATCTCATGGATATGCAAAAGATCTATCTCTATGGTGCAAGTTCTTTTTAGAGCTGATTATAACCTTTTGGAAACAGTGCCTAGTTTTGATATTTGTGTTATTAGCTATTACTGCTCACTGCAAAGGCAGCTGAAGATTCAATTCTTTCATGGATTAGCTACAGTGTAATTAGGTTTTCAAAGAGCAGATCGGTAGGTACAACATGTTCTTTTCTAAAAATGCCATGTATGCACATGTTCTGATTTACCTCTGCTTTTTCGTAGTAGCAGCTCCAGGAGCTGCAGCAGTGCTTAGTACTGCAGCCTCAGGTTGGGGTATGTACTGTGGAGTGGGGGGGAATTTTGGATTTTGTTTTCTTTTTTCTTTCCTAGGTGGTGAAAGTAGATTCTCGTGTTAGAAGTGTGATTTGCATGGTGTGAGACTGGACAGTCCTTGTTTCCCTAACAATGTTATGACAATGACTAGAATTTGCTGCTCTTCGGACCAGGGCTTAACAATGTTTGGAGTACTAAATAAGCTGTAAGTGCTAACAACAATGCTTCCTCAGCATCTTTCATCTGAAAATCTTACTGTTCTTAATGAATTTTTGTGCCTCTCTGTGAGGAAGGAATTACTACTGTCATTTAGCAGACAAGTGGATAAAATAAAATGCTTTCATAGAGACATTCTGAAAGCCATTTATATTCAGGAATATTAATGCTTCAACTCGCTTTTGAGCTGCTATATTGTCTTTTCTCTTTTGCCAGATACAGCTATAGGTATTAATTTTGGTAGATGTTTGGTAGATTTATTTTTTTTTTAATTGGGTTAGGAAACATGAAAGTGAGACATTATTATGCAACATCTCTAAGTGTGCATGTGATACTTGAAAAATGGTAATCAGATAAATTGCTAAGCAACTGTACCCTGCCTTCAGTTACCAAAAAGCCAGTGACTTTGCTTTCATGATGTAACATGCTCTATACTTCTCCATGAAGCACGTGTGGGTGGAGTTCTGTAAGAGTTGCTCCTTTTAACTCCCCTCCTGCTTGACTGCCATATTGTGAGGTCAGGTTTGACCGTGGTTTTACAGAAATGTATTCACAGAACCTGAAAGCGACAGAACAAATGTTAGATGAGCTGTTCAAAATAATGAAGTGTAAGTAAGTGTGTATATAAGGAAACAGCCATTCTCTCCCACGGGCCTTCACCAGCTTGTAAAGAGCAGGCCATAGCTCATCCCTGGGAACGCGAGAGGTAAGAAAATGAGTGAGAGGCTGATGTTAAAAGGCACACATCAGGGAAATGTGGTGAGCTGTGGGGAACCTTGAACACCACTGCGACCCATTTGACCCAAGTGTTGAGAGATGCAGTAATGCACAATAGCCTGTATGTAGAGCCAGCTGGTTCGTTCTCATTGTCTTAGCAAGAAGGGAATAGCAGGAACATCAGCAGTGAAGTGTGCATGGAGAAACAGTAAGTAGGACTCCGATAACATAAGGCAGATTTAGGGGATTTTGTTTGAAACCTGACTACCTGATAGATTACAGGATCTGTCTTAGAAATTCTGCAGGGTAACTGCAACAACAACAAAATAGACTCTTGTTGGTTATTCTAAAATTCTGCTTCTTGTTGGTGACCATCCACAGCAGCATTTGCAGCTCCTGTGGCTTGTGGAGCACCTGCCCAAGGTTCTCCAGTTCTCGCTGGTGCCAGCGCTTTTAGGAGCACTCTGAGACTGAAGGCCTTCCAGAAGCCACAGTGTGCTGATGTGGAGGTGTTTGGGAAAGGATGCTCCTAATCTTGAAGGTGCTTTGTTTTTTTTGCAGGTGGCCGAAAGCTACTTTTTATGGAGTTTTGCAATCTTGTTGCTGTGCTCCTCTTCCAGCCCAGATGTCATCTCATGGGATGGTGCAGCCCTACCTCCTGCCTTTGGGAGGGAGTGCCATGTTCTGTGCTCTAAGTACCTTGAGTCTAGGGATCCCAGGGCCTGGCTGCTCCATGCGCAGCTGGAAACCCCAACCAAAGGACAGAGGAAAGGGCGTGCTGGGTTCATTTGGGTGACATCTGCATCACCCTCCGTGGAGGTCTTGCAGGGGTTAGAGGGTGGGTGTGCATTGCTGAGAAGTTGTTTGCTTTCTGCTTTAGATAAACTGAGCCTGGGTGCTGCTCAAGGGCTTCGCTGTTGGTGGAACATCTCAGTTTAATTACCAGGTAGTGGCATGGACCTGAGTTTCCTTCTCAAGTGCACTTTGCAAATCATGAAAAAGCATAAGCAAACAGGTGAAGGAACACGCAAGTAGCCGCTTGGCAGCCAAGAATTTCATTTCCATCCAGTTCTTACCGGATGAGTGCTGCTCCTTCACTTACTGACGTGCAGCACTTGCCTGCTGGTGTTGGCATCTGAGAGGAGCCCAAGTCTTGCATAACAATGGGCTTCAGATTCTTTCTTCCTTTTTTTATTGAATGGCCGCACTACTGCTGAATATTTGTTGTAGTTGTTGATTTTTGCTAATACAAACATTACACCTTTTTAATCATTAGCATTTCAGTACAAAAAGTTCACTTATCATTTATGTGACCTTTTCTGACCAGCCAAAGTGCTGTGAACTCCAAGGTCAAGCCTTTATCTTCAATGCTGCATTTCTGCTCTTATGTTACCACACAGTCTTTGCTAACAAAGAGTTTCTTTTTCTTTCAAGTGTAGATACACGTGCGACTGAAGCGATGGTTTCTCAAACATTTTGAGCTCATAGAAATGAAGGAGGCTTTTTTGTTTGCTTTTCTTACTGAAAAAAAGGATCTCTTTCCTGCTGGGTGGAGGCCTGAAAGCCAGATCTGGGAGGTGATATGGCTGAGTACAGGGAGGTTTTTGGTAGCAGCGTTCAGATGAATGGCAAATCCCTTGATTGGAGTTTCTGTGACACTGTGGGCGGCCGTAGGGCTGGTGCTAGCAAAAGGGCTGAGCTGCGCAGCAATGTGCAGGACAGGACAGAGCTGTCCCAGTGTTGTCCCCCTGCCAGGAGAATTTCTCAGCTCCGCTCTGTCCTCACTCCCATGCCAAACCTTTGAGTAAGGAATGGAGCGCTCGCACCGAGATATGTGGAACTCACCTGGCAATAAATATACCCTTTTGAAAATGTTGTACTTTGTTTTTTTTTCCAGGGTGTGCCCAGCCTTGTGGCAAACAGTGGGTGTATGTGTTTATTAACTAGCTTCAGAGATGGGAAGCAAAACAAGTGACCCAGAGCACAGCTTCTGGTTTAAAAGCAGTGGTGTGTTTTTTGGTTTTCAGGTTTGTGCCTTGAAGGAGTCAAGAGTGTTACAGCTGCTTATTTTGTATCATTTTGTTCTTCTCTCTTTTATAGAACAAATTATAGTCAAATAGATCTGAGCATGTAAAAAGAGTTCTCAGTGTTATTTAAAATGCATTTCTAGGAAATACTTTTTGAAGTTTTGTGTGCAAGCATCTGATAAATAGCTCCATAGAAACCTATACTCTACTGTTACAAAATGCATACAGTGAAAATAGCATACATGTGAATAACTTACAGGAACATCAAGTTTAGAGCAATTTAAATGAGAGCTAATAAACAACAGCCGCTCTTTCCAGTGTGACGTATAAGTACCTGGCTGTTAAAATAGCAGCTATTCCTCATGGTAAGAGAGGTTCCAAAGCAGACGTTAACATCAATGCACGTGCAGGAAGTGCTTGGTGTGTCTCATGATACTCAGGTTACATTGATTTAATTAGTAGTTTTATGCTATTCATCACTCTGCTGATCTTGGTGGGAAGGTTTTGTTGGGGAAGGATTAGTTATTTAATCTGCATTTTTTTTTATTGGAATATGTTTGTAGTTCAGTGTGATCTAAAGGCAAATGGTGTATTTCTTCTATTGTTTGTATTGTATTTCTTTGTTTTTAAGAGAAAATGTTTCTGTTGAATTACTGTTGGATTTAGGTGCACAAAATTTTAAGTTCATTGGGATCTGATAAATGTTTATAATATCTAAAGGAGGTGGGGTGCAGATGGATGAGGCCAGGCTGTTCTTGGTGCAGCAACAGGACAAGAAGAATAGCCTAAACTTTTATGTGGGAATCTCCATAATAACATGTGGAATAACTTTTTTATGGTAAGGGTGATGGAGTGCTGGAACAGGCTGCCCAGAGAGGTTGTGGAGTCTCCTTTTGTGGAGGTATTCAAGACCCATTTGGATGCCTACCTGTGTGATCTATTGTAGGGTACTTGTTTTAGCATAGAGGTGGGACTCGATGATCTCTTGAGGTTCCTTCCAACCCTTGCAATTCTGTGATAACGTGAAGATCCTGTTTGTTATGCAATCTGGCACATAGTTGTTCTTGCTCTGTAACTTCGTCACATGCCATTAATCTAGAAAATTGCTGTGTGTAGACAAGCCCTAAGAGTGTGAGATCTGTGAGACTGAAGTGGTTATGTGCTGGATATTTTTGTGCTGGAACTGGCACCTCAATGTGTGACTTCTGCGCAAAGCAGCACAGTGGCACCCTGAGAAGTGGAGGGCAGCTCAGGCATGCAGCTCTGCTCACGGCCTGGGTCCGATGTAGGGGCAGGTGGCAGCCACCTCACCAGGGCAGGGGGGAAACAGGCTGGGGGCTGAAAAGGGCCTGCCTGTGTGAAGGTGTGGAGCAAAAAAGGGAGGGGAAGGAATGTGTGGTTAGAGGGGATATAGGGAGGCAGTGTTAGGAGGAGGATTGAGATAAAACTTAAAAAAAAATAAATTAACATATTTAAAATGGTTGATGGGCAGGAAAAAAAGACTGAGCGGACACTTTCTGGTAGATCCTCTATGGTTAACTGAGCCCTTGTCTGAGATGGCAGTGGTGAGGAACCTTTGGTCGTTGGTTCTAGCGCTATGCTCCTCGTGTTTGTCATGGCAGGGATCCAGAAGGACAGTATGGAGCAGAAGGACCCAGCCCAGCTTGGGGAGTGGCTGCCAGCCCGGGACTGGGGTAGGGGCAGCACTCATCTGCACTTGGTAGAGGTTGGCCATCCACACAGCCAGGTGCCAGGGCTGAGATACATATGTTGTATTTTGGGTGTTGGAAGGTTCTCTCGCATTGTGCCGCATTAACATTAACCTGTGCTGCTTTGCTTTATGAAGGCTGCCTGGTCGCCACGCTAGCTGCTGGTTGCATGCTCCTGTCTCGAAGACAGCAGCTGTCTGAAGCGGCTCGGACCTGCGGGGACAGCCTGGCCTCACCACGGATGCTGTGAACTGAGAGCTGGCCAAAGTGGGAGAGCTGCTGGATCCCTCCCAACAGGTAGGATTGGGGGGTAGAAGGCAGGAGTGGGCTGCAGCACAGCAGATATGTAGAGTGGGTGAGTGTGGACAGGAGGTGAAATTATTTCCAAGAGTTCAACCTGCAGATTGCTTTTTGGAAGCATGAGTAAGGTTGCAGTTTGCATGCATTGTCATTGGTTTCTGTCTGCTTCATGTCACGCTGTTCTGATTGCTCATAATTTATATTGCCGAGCTTATTCCAGCATTATTGTCACTTTAAGACCTCACCCACAGATAGTCTGAAGAAGTCACAGCAATCAGGACAGTGGAGCACTGCCTGAGCTAAAGAAGAGCAGTAGGTAAGGAGCAGGGGCTGCTCTCTGCACAGGTGTGAGTCAGATGATGCAGAGTCTATTCCTGCCCCTGAGGAACTGTGCAATCTCTGCACTCAACAGTGCTACTCTGCTGATCACAGGCTCCTCTTGCCTGTACCTATTGCAGCCTGCTACAATTGCACAGAGTAAAACACTACCAAAGTGAGAGGTTTTACATTTGAGTGAAGAGTTGCATTGATCCTAGTAGACAGGCTAGGCACTGTGGGATATCAGCAACAATCCCTGGACCCTGCAGTGTTCTCAGAGTACTCCACAGCACAGTGCCCTAGCAAGAGGCAAAGTCAGGTGCTCTGGTGCAGCTTTCAGCAGTTTAGAGTACAGTTTTGTTTTCTAGATTGTGGCTAAGGCCCTCATGGTAGGTCATGCACAGTACTTCTCTGACATGGAAATCACTTTGAGTTCTCCATGTGTAGCACCTACATGTTCAGATTCACATAGCACCTCCACCATAGTCTGCTCTCTGTCTCAGGAGTCTCGTGGCCCTCTCCTTGTGGTGGTGTCCAAGGGATCCCTTGTGGTACTGTCCCAGTCACACAGGTTGCCTTGCTTGATCCCTGCCCCTCTTCTGGGAATGGGCAGCAGTTCTGGACAGCTACTGAATAAAAGCAGTGGGCTGAACAATGACAATGCTAACAACGTGGGTAAGCAGGGTCAACAACTGCTTCAGGCTCTGCATATGATCTTGTTGCTGGTTATGCAGTTATACACATGCCCTCAATTGGTCAGAATGTCATCTCTTGAGCAGCAAGGTTCATGCCAGTTCTGCAGGTTATGGCAAAGCGAGAGTCAGCAGCTTCTCAGGAAGTTTGCTGCTGCTGGACCGTGCCTTGGAGTGCACCCAGACGTTCTGTCAGTGATGCAGCCATGGGTTCTTCTGGAGAAAGCTGTGTCTGGCATGTGCCCTGAGGTATAGTAATGTTGCTGTGAGCGGAGCAAATGCCGCTAATCGCCTGCCCTCAAGAGCCATCAAAGGAGGCGCAGACATCTCCTGTTACTGTTAAAACAAAAACTGAGCACTGTGTGGGCACAAGAAAACATAGATCCATTGGCAACAGAACAAGACTATGAATAATTAATCCCTCCAGTGCCTCCTGTATGTGCCATCCACTTGGGCTGCTTGGAATGCCATCTGCTGGAGATGCAGAGAGATTTGCTCCCAGAGACACAGGGACACTGCCCTGCACACTGCATCACTCTTCCACTCAGTCTGCCCTTCTCCAAGAACCTGTCATATGCACTGCTGTGACATCCTTGAGGACACAGAAGTAACCTTTGCTCATTCTGTGGGCTGTTGGTAAGAACTCCCATAACACCAATGGAACTGGAATGTGTCTGATCACTGATAGAATCCTGGAATGTCTGTGGGAGGGAAATGAGGATCAAGAAGGAAGCACTGACTGCTCCCTTTTGTGAAAGCTGGTAGGGGGTAGCACCTTTAGTGTGGCTGCACCTTGTTTTTGTAAGAGAATTTATGCTATGTTAGGTTGTTTCTGTGTCCTACTGAGAAGCCAGACTGTCATCTGCCGAAAGTCCTCTGAGCATAGCTGGACTTTTCTTTCTTTACAGAGTACCTTAGCATAGAAGAGGGTGCTTACGTGCTGTAAAATATATACCTTTTCTCAACTCATTTACTAGTGGGCATTTACTCCATAATGATTGGAAAACTTGGCAGCTGAAGCTGAGAGGTGCCAAGGAGTTGAGGAACTACATAGGCTAAATTCTGAACTGCTGTGAGCTCTTGGGATAGATGAGCTGAGAGGTCAGAGGGAACTTGCTGAAGACGTTTTCAAAGGCTCACCGCAAAATTCACAGACGCGGGAGAATTTACCCTCTCTGACATGTTAGTATGAAGATTCTATCAGCCATTTCACATACCTGGGCTGCAGAATGCATGCCTTACTTCAGACAATCAAGTATTGTCCCCCATTTTAATTCTGCGTCTTCCAGGTTTGTTCTTGGCTTCAGGCTTTTGATGAGAGATTTAGACTTTTAGTGTGGGAAAAGTTACCATTAACCAGCAACTTCTGCAGAAGTAATGGGCTTCTTTGGCAACAGTTCAGCCTTTGTGTTTGCAGCTGCCTAGCAATGTCATCTACCTTGATTTTAGGGCAATTCAAATGTTCTTCCACAAAAATGAGCTTTGAGGAAAGAAACTGGATGTTTCGATCTAGGAAAGACACTATAGCTCACCTCCAGAACAGTTTTCAGCTTTCAATTTAACCTTCTCACTGAATTTGCCCTAAAAGTCACTCACCTCTGGGGCTGTCCTAGTCCAGAAGCTGAGGGAAGTCGTAGGTGGGAAACAAAAGTGAAATCCCAGCCTGGGTTTTGAGAGTGCTTTTTGAAAGAAGTGGAGTAAGTGTGCTGGTGAAAGTCTGCCCAGCTAGGTGGAGAGGTGGGGCCTTTCACAGAGTGGCTCTGAAGGAAGAAGGTATTTTTCCTGAGGCAGGTAAAAAGTGTTTGTCTTCCTGTGGTCTGGATAGAAGTGTGGAGATTGGAAAAATAGGGGGTTTTCTTTTTTCCTTTTTTTTTTTTTGTTTTAATCAGATAAGGAAGCAGACAAACAGAGCAGGAGGTGGATGTGTGGTTTCCATAGTGATGTAACTGTGGAAGCTTTTGCATGCTGAGCTTTGCCTCACTGTAATCACACTTAAAGGCTACGAGTATTCAACTCTTCTACAAGGGGAATGTAAATGTACGAACACAGAAATGAGAAAAATGCAACTGCATGGCCAAGAATATATGGATGTTGGGAACCTTATTTTTGTCATGGCTTGTTTCTCCTTTATCTGTTGTTCCGTGCTGAGTCAACACACGTGATAATACTGTTATAATACCACATTTCTTGCTGTACCAGTCCGTGATATGTTGACTTGTGTCCTTAGTTTTCTTCTCATCTATACATGGAAACATTCCACAGCACTGATAGCTGTCACTCTGTTCACCCACAACAATTTCAAACAGGTACTGATTGAGAAACATGTTCCAAACTCTTTCAACATACCAGCTGATCAGAGCACCACCCTCTACAGCTGGGGGGAAGGTACTTGATGCTTCTCCTAACCATCACCTCAGCTGTTCCTGTAGGCTGTGGAAATGAACTGCACGTGACATTAAACTGTAGTTTATTTGGGAATTTTTGAAGTGTTTGACTATTAAAAACAAACAAACAAAAAAAAAAACCTTTGGGGGATTTTTTTTTTTTTTGCATTTGGATAGAGATGGTTATGAGCTTAAGTGGCTGAATTTGAAAGCATTCAAAAAAAAGATGGGGTGCCAAATTTTTCAGCATCTCAGTTGATGGAATATCAGCAGGTCATAGAGGCAGACAAAGAACATATCTGTGTGCAAATGCTACACATTTACACATCTGACAACTAGACACGCCAATCCTGCATACCCACCTGCATAGTCTTCATGAGTCACAGGCATCTGTGCCTCCTCAGCTTCCTCTTTTAATGGCATTGCTGGATGCTTCCCATGCTCTTCCTCTGAAAAAAAGTCCCTTACCTAGGGCATTTGTTTTGCTTGTCTAATGGATGTAATGGGTCATCTGTTCTCTTTATAGAAAGGAATGTTAATTATTTTCAGAAAGCTAATTAGGTTGCTAATGAGAAGCTCTACTACAGTAATATTTCCTTTAATTATTCACTCTTAAGTGCTGTACAGAAGAGAAGAAGCTTATTGAACATGCTGTTAAATATGAATATGTGAATCCACTCAGAGATGCACCTCCGGGCACCCTGGAATAAAAAAATGCCTTGGTGAACTCCAGCATCCATGTGACACAGATGACTGAGTAGACAAGGGTGATGCTGGAGCCTTCCAGTCCTGCAGCCTTTCTGACTCTATCTGGATCTAGTACTGCTGCAAGTGGCTGATTGCAGTTGCTCTCTGTGTTCCACTGGTGCTGGATGGTTTTTGGCAGTATCAGTAACCAATTGTGCAACCTGCCCAACCTATCTGTAACTAAATGCAGTTCTTGTGGCAGTCAGAGGCATAGCAAGGTGGGGTGATTAAATCCACAGCTGTATCTCAGAGTGCTGTGAACCTCAGCAAAACGGAGGTTTCATGAGTCCTTTGTTACTGTGCAGTACTATTTAGCCCCTCACATCGCTCTTGTGGCCACTGCATCTTTGGTTTTGCACCAGTTTGCACATTGTTTTGTGAGGCAGCACAGCTTTAAGATACCCAATCCATGTGTTCACTTTGGCTCTGACTTAGGAATATCATTTTACTTCTCCATTTGAGACCTGGGTGCTACTCATCTAATTTTTTTTCTTTCCCCACCCTTCATTGAAGAAATCTCAATGGCTTTTAGAATTAATCTGGAAGAGCTATGGTATTGCAGATTTAGGTGTACCTCCAGAATGAGAGACGTTGGGTAGATCTCCAGTATCTCCTGATCTGTAAGTGCTGAGCCTTCATGCCGCATCACATCTCTGCAGCATTCTCTGATGTGTAGTCCAATTCCTGAGGCTTCATCCCAGCCTTCTAACACCTCTGCCACTTGATTTCTCCTATGCTCTCAGTCAGACTCCTGGAGTCCTTTGTGTGCTATAGCTCTGTCAGGAGGGGAGCAGTACTCTGTTAAAAGGGGACACGTCCAGGCAGCAGCAGGAGCTCCCTGTGCCTGTGTGCTGATCATCGCAGAGCCTGTCACAGAATGAAGGGGGGTTCTGCTGGTGTTGTGGCTGCATTGTAGAACTTTGTACATTATAATGTGCTGTCAGTGTCTAAATTCAGATGAGTGGGAGTGACCTAAGGCCTAAATAGCTCAGAAAACTGTTACTAACATAAGGTTTTAGAAGTCACCCTTCAATTCTAGAGTGTTTTCAGGTACAGATGTACTCTGTTCTATGTTACACATGCACTTGTTTAAAAGTTGCTTTTACATATGCAAAGTGTAAGTTAACTTTGTATATTGTTACAGCTATGGGAACTCTGAGAAACAAAGAAAATAGAGTGAAGCAATCTGGTTAGGTGCAGGATAGGTTCTAAGTTAGGACAGGTTTAAGCACAAGGAGCACACTTGAAAAGTACCTCAGTAGCCATTCTAAACACCTTGGTTTCGCTAGATGCTGCCATGCAAAGTCATGGCACTAGCATGAGTTGTCATGAGTGCAGTGTGACAGGTCTTCTGTTGTATGGATTGAGACTGGTCATATAATGGAAGTACATTCAGTCTGATTTAGCTACGGTAGGTCATAAGAACTTAAATTCTTATTCATCCTACCAATAGTGTATGCTCAAATACCTGCTGATTGACATAGAAGCCCTTGCACACTGCTTGGTATAAGTGCCTCCTGAGAGGAACGGACAGGGTGACCAGTGTGTGTGCCTCCAGGGCTGCCAACAGCAGATGTGTGATTGAAATGACAGCTCTTAAGCATTTTACATAAGCAGAGACAACATATGCTGCTGCTCTGGTTCCATTTGCTGTGGATCATCTGATGCTCTGTTTGTTGAACACATGTTAAAGATGATTCTAAAGGAATTTAGGTATGCTTTTTGTTTGTTTTGGAGAGGTTTTTTTTCTTTCTTATGTTTTTGGTGGCTGATGTGAGTAGGATTGCATTGAAGAATTCTGTATTACTCTTATCACAAGATCATTCCTGACACGCAGAGGAGAGCTGTCCCTTTGCCCAGAGGCATGAGGTACCTATTGTTGCCCCAAGGAAAATAAGGTAAAGAAAAATATCTTTGTGTTTGATAAGACCTGAAATTATCCCACTTAATCTTGGGTAAACTGGGGTAAATAAGTGATGATTCTACAAGCTTCAAGTGCCTGTAGGGAGGTATTGGGAAGGTGCAGGAATAGTACCCTGGTGATACCAATGTGCAGGCTCCACTTTCGTTTCCAGTATGTCCACTTGTGGCTGCCATCACAGCTTGGTTTGACTGCTAGCGAGAGGCTGCAGAGACAAAGCTTGTAGCCAAGGTACCTGGGAGTGTCTGAAGTTTTTGAGTCCATCCTGGTCTGTATGTGGTGAGAAAGTTTATATGAAATTCAAAAGCTAGTAAAACTGCCATTCAAATAATTTGCCAGAATCGTGTTCTGCTGTAGTAATGGTGTAAAGCAGGTGACTGCAGCCTGAATCTCAAGGAACAGGCGCCCCTATTAAAGGTTCTTTTCAGTTAATATTAACAAGAGCTCTGTGCCTGCACAAAGGAGAGGTCAATTCCTCACTGCTAAACTAACAGCTGTGTCTCCTAAATAACATGTGGGTTGGTTTTTTTTTTTTGGTTTTTTTTTAGAATATGTCTTTATCTTTTATCTTCAGGAAATTGCAAAATAAAAGCTGAAAACATAAGCCAGGTGTTAGGGGCACTCCAAACAAAGAGCTGAACAGAAAGTCCCAAACAGAAAATAGCCTGGCTCTGGAAAAGCCCTGTTCTGCTCTGGAGCCAGTGATGGGTTGCCACTTGGGCAGGATGCTTCTGTCACCTCTGGCCAAGGCCATTCTGTCTGAACACAAAGGGACAATTACACAGTAGCTGGATGAAGCATTAGGTTACAGCAGGATAAAACGAAGTCAGGAGAATTGCTGTTCAGTGACAAGGTAGGGACCACACCATGGGCTCCGGAGGGGCAGTTTGCCTCCATTTTGCCCTCCTGCTGCACTGTGGTGTGGCCATGGTGTTTTTCTTTTCTGGGTGTTCCCCCCAGGGGGAAACTGAATCCTTTTTACCAGGTGCAGAGCACAGTAGGCTTCCTCTGGCAATGTCACAGAAATTAAGGGACAGCTTGGTCATTGTGAGAAACTGGTTATGGGAGGTATTAAGAAAGAATTGAACTCTGTGGGTGGAAGCAGTGATCTGACCACTTCCTCTTGCACATACGAGTGGAATGTAAATGTCTCTGTGGAGTGCAGCCTGGTAGGGAGCATCTTTTCTCATCTTGCAGCTGACAGTGTCCTTGTACATCACAGGATTTGGTCACTAGGCTTTGTGAAACTTTCAGAATTCTACTCTTGGGAACTGGGTGAGGTATTTTCTACTCAGAACTCCTTTTCCTTCAAAGATTAAGTGCCATAGGGTTTCCTAAGGAGTGGTAATATGTTTGACAGCAGCTGATGCTGGTGGGGTGCTAGAGCAGGGGTGAACAGTAAGATTTGGGTACTCGGCTGTGTTTGGGCTTGGAGCTATTAGTTGTGTCAGGTTTCTGTCTCTGATCTGATCAAAGTAATAACATCAAAAAGTTGCTGAAAATATGTCTGGGTCTGCGGTGGGTCTTGTCTTCTCTGGCACAAGCATCAAGCATCTTGCCTGTGCAACCCAGCAGTGAAGACAAGCCACGTGCATTGCAGAGCTGAAACCAGGCAGACATTGACTGCCAATTGCTCCTCCATAGTCATGTCCCTGTGTGTTCTGGAGGGCCCTGTATGCCCATCAAAGTGTTTTTGTGAGTGTAGTTTGGTGTTAGTGAAAGGTAGTGACTGGACTGTTCAGAAATTCTGAGACTGAGAATGTGAGCTTTATCTGTTATACATCAATATGAGAGGCAAGTAAATGAATACAGAGTCAACTGGTGTCTGGTCTCTCTTTTGACATGGCCAAGGTTCCTGGCTAATTAGTGCCTGTGGCTGGATTATGAAAAATCTTTGTCAATCATTTGAAATATAAGAAAACATAAGAGCTTTGTGTCTTGGAACATCTTATTTTTGAAGCCCAAATAGCAAAATAAATAGGATTCTAGTTTTTAAATCTTGGTCTTCCTGCAGCAACAGGGAATTAAGAAAGATGATGTGGTTTGACATGTTGTTTTAGGTACATACTGTTTGTGTGTTTGTACAGGCCTTTGTTACTTGAGTTTACTGATACCTGGTTGTATCCTGTGATGGAAATACCAGGGGGGGGGGGGGGGGGCGGGGGTTGAATTATTCTGATACGAGCTGGGAAGCAAGGAGTTCATCTGTCTTAACAAAATTCTATTCTAGAAAGGTGTTTTTTCTCTCCTTTCTTTCATTTCATCCTCAATGTTGGCATCTGGGACAGGCAGATGCAAGGCAGGATCTGGCATTTGGCAATTTCAGTTGTGATGTGTGCTGCTAGCCCCGGGCGGAGGCTGCAGGAGATTATGACAACAAAAGCCCCCTCCTGCTGCTGATCTTTCTGCTGGGCATTAGACAAATGATAGCCATGCCCCACTGCAGCACCAGGTTGGTGGAGATGGGATTTAAACAATTGACTTCTCTGTTTCATAAGGCCAAAACAGGTCAGTGCACACAGTCTGGCTATACTTAGTCATTTTCTGTTCTTCCTGCATACAGCAGCTTCTTCAGACAGAAGGGAATGCTGAACTAGAGAAGCACAAACAATCTCCTGCCTGCAGAGCAGAGCAGAACTTAGTTTTCTGAAACAGTGTCTAAATCAAGGAAAACTGTTCTAGAGGCTGTTGACTTAAGGTTGATAGTCAGAAGTAGGGTAGAACATGTATGCAGATTTTATCTCATCACTGCAGCAGCTGTGAAGAGCTGTGGATCTTCATTATTATCTGTGTAGGTGAGGTTAGTGGTTATGAAACAAGTGATTTGTTTTCCCAAAATCTGGCCCCTGCAAGGATTCTGCTTTAATACACTTGAAAATTTACTTCTGTGTGTGCACTCTTCCTCATTTCCTTCAATTCTACAAATTATCCTGAGTCTTTCCAACTATCTTTTTTTGAGCCAGATTTTGTTCTCAAGGCAAAATTCTCATGAAGTTTTTTCCCACATTATTTCACCAAATCACTGAATGGCTTATGTTGGAGGAGACCTTAAAGATCATCTATTTCCAACCTCTCCCATCTGGGCAGGGTTGCCAACCACTAGATTGGGCACTAGATCAGGTTGCCCAGGGCCCCATCCAACCTGGTCTTGAACATTTCCAGGGATGAGGCATCCACAACTTCTCACCAGCTTTCCCTCCCTTTCTATGCTTTAACTCTTGGGTCTTAAAGGAGACAACACAAATATGGTAGCAGTTTCAAGCAAGAAAATTGTTCTGCCTTTTATTGTGACAGCTGTGTGTATGAACTCAAATCCAAATCTCCCTTTGTCTTTGTGTGTTGACCTTTTGTGTCTGTGCCATCTTTCTCCAGCTGAGAGAGGAAGATATTTTCTGTGTGAATTGGCAACCAATAGGAGTGAAGAGGTGAGTATTATTTTGACCTCCTTGCTGAGTTTAGGATTAGAGTTAGTAGTTCTTAAGGATTTTCTGTTGTAAGGTGGAGGCTTACTAAGGTGGAGGCTTAATTCCTTTCTCAGATGTTTATCAAGTAAGTGGTATTTACATGACACAAGTAGTTTTCAAGTAGTTCCAAAGAAAATGTTTGTTAGGTACTATTCACTAGACATGGTTTTGAATTCTTCTGAAGACTAAATGTGTACATCAGATCCAGGATAAGGGACGAATACGAGTAGGCTTTCAGCACATATCGCAGCCACAAATGGCCAGATCTTCAAAGCAGAGGTATTGCATTATTTTATGATTTGGGCCACCCAGATAATGAAATCTATGAATGATTAATTCCTGGACTTGTCATACGGCAGTGTTCAAAGCATCCCTGTGCACATCCTTATCAACACGTCTTGTGTCTTATTTCAAGAAGCCTAAAGGCCGATACTGATGCTGACTAATAAATATAGGCCATTTTTTGAAATGCTATACTGCATCAGAGTGATGAATCCATTCACAGGTTTTATCAGGAATACCGTTCAATAAAGCACAGTCATCTGGGCATGCTGCAGTCAAAAAAGGAAATTTGAAAGAAAGACGTAGATCTAGCATTAAATGTACCTGCTTTCATATGGGATCCTCCCTAAAGGATGGAACTGGGCATTCCCTGCCGAGCTGTAATATGTGGTTGGCAAACTGCAGGCAGGAATCCTGAATCTAGCATTTTTATATATCTGTACATCTGTAGGTAGATTTAAAAATTGTGTAAGCATAGTGGGTTGATTTGCTTTAATTAAAACAAATCAAGATATCTGTGGTTCAGTCCCAATTAGAGCGTGAGAGAACAGTTCAGGTCTGTGATTTGGGAGTGAGGCAGCATGAAGCTCAAAAAAAACTGGAAAGGAACCAAGGTGAGGTCAGCTGCAGACAGAAGAGAGGCAGGGCATCCTTCTGACCCAGCTCCCTGGCTCACAAGCTGGAGTTTGTGAAACTGCAGCTGGGAGCACACTTTTCTGCCTGGAAGAACGGTACTGGGAAACATTTCTGGGACTGTGCTTTCATGAGGTGAGTGACTTGAAAAGGAGATAGATGTAGGGTGAGACAGTAAAAGCTTGAGGGCCAATGCTGAGTTAAGAAACTGATGACTAAAGAGGTAACAGGTTTCTCTGAATAGCAGGAAGAAGCAGATGCCCAGTTCCACATGAAGCACAAATGTTTAGTTACTCTTCTATTTGAAAAAGGCTGTGAGTGCTTGGCCAACCACTTCTTGGAAGGTTGATGATTTCAGTTAGGTTTTCCAGTGGGAAAGTGCCACCTTCTTGAGGCACAAATCAGATGGGTGACTTTGATCTGAGAAGAAATACGAACCTGTGAATTTGAGGTTTGTGACAGATCTGTTTCTTCATTGTTACAAAAGAAAAAAGTGGCAAGAGTGCATAAAAAGTGAAGATGGTATGAATGTAGTTGTAACCCAGACTGAACAGAATCATAGAATCGTTAAGTTTGGAAAAGGCCACTGAGATCATCTAGTCCAACCATCATCCCACCCCCACCATACCCATTAACCACGTTCCTCAGTGCCATGTCCACTTGGTTCTTGAACATCTCCAGGGATGGTGTCTCCACCACCTCCCTGGGCAGCCTGTGCCAGTGCCCAACCACTCTTTCTCAGAAGAAATTTTTCCTGATATCCAACCTGAAGATAATAAGCTTCCTGATACTTTGAGGAAATAACAGCGCTGAAAATGTAAGCGTTCTTTTTGCAAAGATGTAAATGGCAACTACCCAATGCAGCAGGGGGATATGTTTGCTGTGTAGGAATTTGGCCTAGAACCTAAGACTTTGTTTTGGTTTTTTTTTCTTTAATTTCTTATTAAGGACAGAAAAATTTGAGTAGTCTCTGAAGACAAATATCCTCAGTGATAGCACTTACAGGATGCTTGCAGCTTTTTCTGAATTAAGCTAAACCTGAACAGTAGAGGCTAAAATTCACTAATTTATTTGCTCGTACAATGTATTTCAACTGCTGATTTTTGTGCAAGCCAGTTATGGCATGATTCACCCCTAAGGTAAAATGGAAGATGTTTCAGAGGAGCTGCCTTCCCCAGCTGTAGGCAGGAGTGCCTACCTGAGGATTTTGTTTGACACGTTGGTCAGTAGGACTCTGAGACTTAGCCTCTTCTGCCCATCCTTCCCAGATCATTTGCTGCCTCTCAGGATCTGCATGAACTTGAGATGAAGATGAGACAGCCACCATCTTGGGGGCTCCACTAAGATTTCTTCCTTAAAAGAGAACAATTTAGCAATGTGAAATCTGTGAAGCTTCCTCCTGCAAGGCTGTTAGCACGAAATCTCAGGCTTTGCAGCGTGGCAAAAGCAGAGAGCACTTTGAGGTTCTCATTACTTCACATTTCAGTGGTAGTTTGATATTAGGAAAAGTGTGTAAGTAAATAAGAAAAATACGTATTCGCAGAATATTAAAGGAGGAACAGTTAAGAAGGAAAAAAAATGTAGAATTGCCATCAACAGACTTCAAGAAGTTTTCTTCTCTCTTTCCCCTTTTGATGGCCGTCTAAGGTCCCATTTCTGCAGGTGCTTGAAAGTGTTCTCTCTTTTATTTCATCCATCTCCATGCAGCACTTTCTGCCTGTGAGGCTTGAATCTATCTCAGCATAAGCCCAGAAGCTGCATGTCTTCATGGTTTGCTGCAGATGCTGTTCCTCTCAGGTGAGGAGTGGCCACAGCTGCTTGCTGTGGGTGCTTGCACTGCCCAGTTACCCACTACCATCACTTGAATAGTAGGGATTTATAAAGGTTTGTGTGCTGGAGAAGAGAAATGCAAGGAGAAGGAAAAAGTTTTTTGCAGCTGTGTATGTAGCAAGAATTTTTTGAGGCTGCTCTCTTCTTCTGCAGTAAAAGAAGTACCAGACTTCTGAAATGCTGCATTTAGTTTCTTCTGCAGCAAACCAGGAGACACTGCCTCGGATCTGCCGATAGTTCTAATGTTTGGTGTTTTTTTTGGTCTTTTTACACACGCAGTTTTTCTTCATGGTTTTAGGGGACTTGGATTATCTCACGGTATTAGCAGGCAAGGATTTTACATACTTTTACTTCAGTGCCTTGATCACAAGATTCTTTTCTGCCAAGCTTCATTTTCGATGCGAAGTGAGTTTGAATTTCTTGATGTTCTAATTGCCAAACCTGGCTTTCTTCCACTGCATACTGATTCTGGCTTGTAAGTGAAAATTGTTCTGAAGAGCTGGGCTAAGTGCTTGTTTGTTAGGACTGGTATTGATCTCAGAGTTGTCTAAATCAATTTATTATTGTGAGGTTGTTTATCAGGAGTAGACTGGTGTGTATGCTTTTCATTTTGCTTTGGAAAGAAGACGAGAGGGCATTTACTAAGAAGAAAAAGAAAACTGCAAAAGAAGAGCTGCCTTAGATTTCCTTAAGAAATCATGTAAGTTAGGCAATATGCCTTGATCTTAATGTTTTTTCTCCCTTGTGTTTGCTGTCTCTTTAGTGGCAGAGGAAATGATATTGGCTGTGGCTTGTAAATTCTCAGCATGTTTTCAGGATAAATTCTCTCTCCACTCATCACTCTGTTTTGGTTGCTTTTCCTTGTAAGCCATGATGTGCATTATGTTCTCTGAATGTCAGATTTGCTTCAGTCAGCTAATGCAACATGTTAAGCCCAAGCTTTCAAAAACAGCCGTGAATTTTGATTGCTACTGTGCGTGAGCACACCGTTAGAAGTGCATGTCCGTGGCCGCAAGCAGTGAGCTGACAGCTGCCCACAAAGAGCTACCAATGCTCAGTCCTGAAGTTACGGACTATAAACTTGCAGCAGCTTTGGAAAAATCACTTCTGGAACTCAGTTCTGCCCTCACCGCAGAGAATAAAGTAAATTTATGCTACTGTTAAGACTGAAAAACCTCTGCAGGCTGATAGATGCTCTGTCTACTCCTACAGCTGTGCCCTGGCTTCCAAGTATTCTCTATGCTGGGGCTTTGGTGGACACTTTCCTCTAGTGCCAGTGCATGTCCTGAGGACTCAGGGCAGCTTTTTCACATGGGAGTGAGGCAGGTGAGGCGGTGTTCTAGCAACTAGCTAGACAGGGACTTGATTTTTGCCTGAAAAGATTTGGACAGACTCAATGATAATAATTCTACATGTTGAGTGTGATCTCAGCCATTTTTCACAAATTTGCCTTGTGAGCATGCTACTTGCTTGACTCTAAAGGAGCTTTTTGTCTGGAACATAAGAAGCATTCCATTTGGTCACTGGAAGTGAAGAGCTGCTGCCTTAGCTTGCTCTCAGGTTAGGGTGGTTGCTGTGGGCAAAGGTCCATTCCGGTAACATGAGGCAATGCATGGTGCAGGGCATGGCAAGTCTCATCTTCCTGAGCTTTTTTTTTTAAGAGATCACATTTGTCAGAAAAATCTTTAAACTAGTAATGCCTTCTTGTTTTCTATTTGTTCCTTGAAAAGCTCCCTCCAAAGAAACCCCCATCTTTCTCCTTATTATGAAATGGTGCCTTCTGGGCATCCCACATAGGCATTACTGGTAACAGCTACACTTCTCCACCCCTTTAGCTTAGTCTGGTAATTGGATTCATTTAATCTTCTTTTGTCGTCATTCCTTTTTACTGAATCCCAGTTCTCTTCGGAACAGATTTGAAAGATAGGCAGGGTCAGAGGCTGCCAGCAAGTATAAGAATGTACAGGGTGAAGGACCCAGAAGATGATGTACCTTGTAAGGAGAAGGAGCTAGAAACAAAAAATGAGGGGAAAAAGCAGAAAATTGTCTTTCTTCCTTGCAATATAGTAGACCTCAGAAGAATGGAGACAACATACATCCCAATGGAGTGGAGTCCAGAGAGAAGGAACAAAAACAAATCAATATATTCAGAAGTAACCAAAATCCCAGAGCTCCAGATCCATCCTGAAAGTGCTAAGAGTAAGGAAGGGCCATCAAATCTGTCAAGACACATATGTCTGTGGCTCTCTTCTAGCACTCATTAGGAGGCTTGATTAATCGATTTGCTGGAACTGTTCCACACTTTAGAAGAGCTAAAATTCAATTTTCTGAGATGCAGTTAATTGAGGCTCTCAGTTACCTGGAGGATGGCTATCTCCTCAGACTTATGACTTCAATGCATAAGTACTGCTGAGACTTTGCTGCATAAATCTTTAAACACTAATGAACTAATGTCTTGGGGCCAAATCCAGCGCTAGTGTTCTGTAAATCTTTACTTCTAATGATCTGTGTGAGATTTATACAAAAACACTGAAGATAGATACAGTTGCAGCACGTTAATGGTGTCCCTGGTTGCACAAGCATTCTGATTTGGAGCTTACTCAGAGGGAAAGAAGAAAGAGTAAGAGATACGCATTTAAAAAGGTATTGCCTCTAAAGCGTGTGTTGCTTTTCATCAACCTGTCCTCATTGACCTACTCTTTGTTAAAGCAAAAAGGCTTTATTTTATTCTCCCAGCCTTAATGAGAAGCAAAGTATCTTCAAAGATGTCCCAGTGAAAATCATCGATAAACTCATTAAGAACAGTTACTTTTATGTAAATACTACTTGGGTAAGAAGGAGCATGTCATAAACGGAAGGGTTTATAATAAGGGAGTGGCAGGTGCCACTGTTTCAGAGTTATTTACTCACAGTTGCCTCATTTGGAAAAAGGGGGAAAAAAAAGGACAACTGGAAGGGAGGATGAAAGTCTTCCTCTTGCACAAAGGATCTTGCACTGATATTTACATCCTTTCTGCTTATGTGGCCTCATGCAGCAGGTTTGACTGCATCTTGCTCACCCTAAGCAATGATGGATATCCCATTTGGAGTTGATATACTGAAGTGTGGAAATATGATCTTATTGCTGTTACAGTACTGTTTTCTTACAGCCCTAAACCAGAATTCTGCCCTAATTCTTCTGAACCAGGTCTCTGTAAAGAATCACAGCCCTTCACAGTCTTCCCCTGTTCGACCTGTCCTTCCTTGTTGTAGGCAGAGGAGCTCTTGTCCTCTGTGTTACCTGCACAGGCAGCACGTTCCTCTAAGGCCTGGGTGTGGTTTCCATAGGTCTCCCATTTTTCTTGTAATTCTATCATCAAGTTGGAAAAGAAGGTCCTACTTGAGAAAAACAGTGCTTCTGAAATGTTTTTGCTCTGTCTTAATAATGACATTGTATTTTGAGTGAACCATTTCTCTAGCTGCTTGAAATATACTTTTCTGGTGGAAGATACTTCCATCATCTCCAGCTGCTGTCAGTGTGCAGTCTCCATGACTTGCTCTGCTGAGACAATTGCACAGATGGCAACTGTGTTTCTTGTTTTCTGGAAGCTGCTGCTCATTCCACCAGAGCTACCTCGCTGATGAATGCCATTTGTTTTTCTCAGGGGACTGAACAACTATCGTATACTCAGAGTTTTTTAATCTGTATTACTGTCACTCCATTAAAAGTCTTGTATCACCAAGATCAATTATCTATTTCAAGCTTTTCATGTGCATCAGTTACAGTCTTGGCCCTCTGTCTGGATGCTTGTGCCACTAACAGCCTGCAATTATTTTGAACATGGTCCTTGGGCATTAACTGCTATCCAATAAGACAGCACCATTTTCCCTCATTTCCCTTTTAAGACTGTCTTTCTCTGTACTATCTGCCAAGCATGAGCCACTTTGGTACGGCTGAGAGACAAGATACTTGGGAATGGCTGCATTGTCAATTACTTTGTAATTGCTCAAGCAACTTGTCATCATGACGCTGTACAATATGCAACTTGTGCAAGGATGTAGCTTCTTGTATACACTCTTGGCATTGCCCGTTCTGTTATATTTTTTAATGTATACTTTGGTGTCACCTTGAATTGAATGTTGTACAGGAGAAGCTGCATTGACTGAAGGACTTATTGCCTAGCGCAGTGGAACCAGATTACATCTGGGCTTCCCCAGTTCAGCAACTGCCCTGTCTACAGGTGCTTTTCATCAATAGGCCGTCTGTGAGGATTGTTCTTCAAGGACATCAAGAGCAGGAAGTTCCCATCAAGCTTGTGCTGACTTGGCACTTGACAGTTGAAGGGAAATGCTGAGACAGTGTCAGCACTTTGATGCTTTACTTCTTGCAGTTACAATGAAAGGCTCGAGATTCATAATACATCAGTGGTGGTTATAAATGGGATCATTTGTACTGTAGAGGTTGTCTCAGACCTGCTTTCAGTTCAGCTATTAGCCAAAAATTTCAGTATCAGGAATTGATACTTAGCAGAGTCTTTCACCCACTAGTTCAAAATGTGCTGTTGACCCAAAATGTGTAGCATTTGATGATAGTTCAGTACCATGTGTGAAACAGATTGTGCTGTTAGGAAAAGAGTCTTTGTTCATTCACATCATGTGAGCTGACAAGTCTATGGTTGTTTATAGGTGATTACGTAAGACAGGAGTGAATTCATGGATACAGTTCTGTCCTTTCCACTTTCAATATTCCCCATTGGTTTTCATTGCTAAGAAGCATACCACAGTTCATCTCTCCTCCCATAGGTACTTTTTCAGTGAATATTGTCTTTTGTGCTCTCCATTTTCATTATTCCACTTCCATTTTCCTGATGATTTCCTGGCAGTTTTAGTCACACTGCATGTTAATATTTTGTCCAGAGAGGCAGTGATTACAAAGCAGGGCAGGAACAATCCACTTGGAATTGCACACAGGACATAGTGTAGTCCTTACTTAGCACACTGTACCATGGGGTTGACAAGTGCAGAGCAAGTGAATTAAATAATGCCTGATGAAGTCAAGAAACTCAGCCTGGAATAAAAAGTTTTTTAAAATCCAGAAGATGTCACATTCACCCTAGAGCATAGGTCTCCCTTCAATAAAACTGTATCTAATTAGCTTCTGCCAGTGAATATAGTGTGGTAAAGCAATGCTTAGGACCTTGTGAATCTCTACAAAGAAGCATGAAAATCAACTGTGTTTAAACTGCTCAGCGATAAGCAAATTATGCCCTCTCACAAATCACTTCACCAAGTTTCCTCCTGTAGAGACAAATAGAGTTTGTTCTCATTTCCTATTTATCATGACTAACCACCTCTCTCTATGCTCAGCTGTTCTTTTTATTCTCTTTCTTTGTGCTTTGCTGTCCTGAAGCAAAATCTGTATGGATTTCAATGGCTCTCTTGTCTTTTTTTGACTTGGTACTGGACAGTTCGATAGCATAAGAGATGATTCTTTAAATCCTAGGTATGATGCCAAAATTCTCTAACTGAAAGAATTAAGAAGAGATAACAGTTCAGCTGAATGGATGCAAGGTGTATATGGGGAAGTGTAAAACCTCTGAGACTTTCTCTTCTGATTTCCTTTCTGTAGCTCCCATCAAATCTCAGTCTTTCTCTGCAGTAAACTTTCTGGGTATGGAGACTGTAGGAGACAGATTAAAAAGGCTCAGATTTTCAATGCTGTGCTCAGCTAGTCTTCATTTTAGAGACAGAAATAAAAGCAAAGGACAGTACTGTTTCTTGAAGAGAGCAAAAAGATGATGTGAGCTCCTTCTGAGAAGCCTGTATTTTTCTGCTGATGATCATCCAGTAAGTTCTTTAGTAGCCTCACTCCTGGCAAAGTCCTTGAAATTTTCAGTTCCCTCTTTACCATGAGTGCAGTAACAGCTACATCCCAGTCTTCAGTCGGAGTAGTCCAGATGCATTCTGAGACTCAGAGCCTGATAAGGTGCCACCTTTCCCCAGGGCTTAAATTTGCTGTAGTAAAAATGATACAATTTTAAATGCACTTTTCTTGTTAGAATTTTCACTTTGTGGATGTTACTGATCTGTGCATGTTGCAACGTAGGTGGTAAAGACTTGAATTCCTCATTGACTCCTCTCTCTGTCTTTGTTTCAGAGTGCCTACCAGGGTGTGTGCAGAAGGATGGCTGCGGCAGAACCTCTGACCGCTTTCTCCCGATGGTACCTCTATGCCATTCATGGCTATTTCTGTGAGGTCATGTTCACAGCTGCCTGGGAGTTTGTGGTCAACTTCAACTGGAAGTTCCCAGGTGTTACCAGTGTGTGGGCACTCTTCATCTATGGCACCTCCATCCTCATTGTGGAGAAGATGTATCTGTATCTCAAAGACAAGTGTCACATTTTAGTTCGCTGCTTTATTTACACCCTCTGGACGTATCTCTGGGAGTTCACCACTGGCCTCATCCTACGCCAGTTCAATGCCTGCCCGTGGGACTATTCCCAGTTTGATTTTGACTTCATGGGCCTGATCACCCTGGAATATGCCATCCCATGGTTTTGTGCTTCTTTCATCATGGAACAGCTGGTGATCAGGAACACCCTGCGCTTGAGATTTGATGAGACTGCCGAGCCAGGGGCTCCTACTGTTCCCATTGCCTTGGCCAATGGCCACGTGAAGACGGATTGAACCATGACTCGGAGCCACCCTTAGCAATCTGAGAGAGCCCAGACCTCTACCACAGGCTGTTAGCTCTGGCTTCGAGGTACTGCTCCTTGCTGTATGATAAGATTCATAAACCCCATTTTTCTAATGGGGGTGTGCATGGGATATACCAGAAAAAAAAATGGAACCAATAGATTTTGTAAGGATTTTACTCTTTGGGTTCCAAGGACCAATATCAGTTACTTGTTAGTTAGGTCATTTCTGATTTTAACTTATTACAGATGAAAGCAGTCCTTTTGCTTACACTTCTGTGTGGAGAAAGAAGGAGGGAAAAAATACTAAGGTGGAAAAGTATTCAAAAAGGAAAAATGGAATCATTGGAGGATGGTCATGGACACGCCAGCAAAGTCAGTGATCGGCTTACTCCATTAGGCAATATTCAGGTGCTTGCTTGCAACCAATACCTCCTGTGGGACCTGAGATGCTGCAGGAACAAGGAAAATCCGTCTGCTATGGAGAAGAACCTAAGGCTGGCAGTCTGCTGGGGAGGTAGATGGTGTTCCCCTCATGAGGTCCTACTGGCCTACCCCCAAGGTTCTTTTTTTGCACCACAATATAATATGGTGCTGGACATCTTGCTGAATTTATACAAATCTTGTACTTTTTGAAATCTCAGTCCTGATAATAGATTTTTTTTTTTTTTTCTTTTTTTTTTTTTTTTTTTTTTTTTTTTTTTTTTTTTTTTTTTAAGAAAAAGCCTTTTTTGCTGAGTGAATTTTACCATAATCTGTGCAATCTGAATCTTGGCAAAAGGCACAATAAATATGTAAGTCTTCCCATCTCCTCTGTCCCCCCAAAGCAGAACTTGTCTGAAGGGCTGCTGCAGATTCCAGCTCTCATCCCAACCATGCAAACTTTGTAGAGACTATACATGCCACAAGAGTCTTCTGCCTTCCTTCCCAGGGATTCCTCTGTTTCTGGTGATGTTGATGACTTAATCTGGCTGCAACTCATTGTATTTGACCAAAGGTCAACATTTTTGTGTGGCTGAAGTGGTACCCAGCATTCGGTCCTCTAGCACTGATGGTCACCCTCCATCAGCACTGGCAGCCCAGTGGTCTCCTCAGTGTTCCAAGAGGATTTGCTCTTCTTTCCCAAATTCTATTCTAAATAACTACAGCAAACCTTTCCCATGAGAATAACTGCAGGCAGCAAGAGATATACCATGCTGTCTGTTATAGGGAGACACATTACTTCCAAAAACAAACACAATTCTCCCTGAGGAGCTCTTCTTCACAGTTTGAGCAAGGTTTTGGGTTCTAGTGTGAGAGAAGCAATAGAGAGCGGTAGGAGCAGGGAGTGCTGTGGCTCCATTTTGGAGCTGCTTGCATGGGGGCAGTTTGAAATTTAACCTCATGGGAACACTTGTAGAGTCCGGGAAAAGCTGTAGAACGGGAAAGGTGCCTGATACTGGCAACCACAGGTTAAATAATGTGCTTTGGTAAGCCTTGGCTGTCAGAGCCACAAAAGTGGAATTTCCTGTTGTCAGAAATATCGTGCTCGTGACAGCTTTACCAGGCAGGTTTGCTGTAATTGTCTCATAGGACAGATTAATTTTGAGTGTTCCTATACTGTAATCAGCAGAGCTGCAGCAGGGATGAATTTGGCTTGAAACACACATGTTTGTCTGGTTGTGGGTTTCCACTCTTGCACTGGAAGCAGCCAGGTTATTTTTGTGCTGCTCCTCTGTCTGAGGTAGAGCTCAGCTGTGAACGTTGTCCCTGGGGAATCTTCTCCCAAGGGGAGAAGCACTTCTAGCCCTGTGAAGGGAATCATTGTCTGGTTCTGCCCCTAGAAAGCCAGTGTTAATCCTTTCTGTGTTGCACAGTGTGCAATTATTTTATTTCTCTCCTTCCCCCTTCTCACATGACATCCATTGCTGGCAATGGACACAAATCAATGGTGTCAAGGAGTTAATCACATCTGCCCTAGGATACACAGTGTCTCTTAAAGCACTCTGAATGTTTAGATGGGTATTTAGGGTTTCCTTTTTATAGACCATTAAATTAAAAGAGAGCAAATACTGAGTAGATGTATATACTTTTTCCTTGCTGTGATGCCAGTATTATAAAACCAGAGAAGCACTATGTTGTTTGTCAGTCCTGATGGTCTTGCGTGTACAGACCCAGGCAAAACAGTCACCTCATGTAGTGCAGGGGGGCAAAAAGAGATGAGCTCTGCTGAATTAGAACAAGAACTGCAAGGTATAGATAAGAGCTGGGATCTCATCCCATACCTGGAGGTGTTCAGGGCCAGGCTGGAGGGGCCCTGGGCAGCCCTATATGGTGGGTGGCAGCCCGGCCCATGGCAGGGGGTAGGAACTAGATGTTCTATGAGGTCCCTTCCAACCTAAGCCATTCTATGATTCTGTGATGTCCCCGCTTTGGCCCTAATTCTGTCAGGGTCATGCAGTACCTGGAGCCAGGCTGTTCTCTCACAGCACAGCATGGCTGTGGTGTGATGCTGCTTCTTATCTCTCCACGCCATCTGAAACCCTCAGTTTCATAGAAGCATTCCTAGGATCTCTGCTTTCTCCTTAGCAGCTACAAAACTCTCAGAAGTGTTAGAAGGAGCTAGCAGCATCATTTGGTGACTCCATACCAGCTGCAGGTGGGACTAAGGGAGGAAGAGTTCACAGAGCTAACTTGGTACACAGCCATGTGTTGTGACTGCAGAAGTTTCCACCAAATGATACAGTTCTTGCACAGTGATGTAATATTTAGGTGCTCAGGCTATGGAGGTGTCTCCCAGCAGCTACAACATCTTATTCTATTATCCCTATTGCCTATGCCATTGTAACCACTACTCTGGTTTGCTTTCTAGCGATGTCTGATGCATACCACCTAGATATTGCATCCTTAGAGACTTGTAACTTACACCCAGAAGTGCACTTTTCTTGCAGTTTGCACACCAGAAACAGGAAAGGACCCAACAAATTATTAAATAATTTCAAATAATTCCCTGGACAACAAACGTTATTGCAGGGTTTGCTTTAATACCATGTACCTAACAAAGCAGGGTTAGCTAGACTTCTTGCTAAGCAATGTGGCTTTGTCTCTTCTGCAAAATCTCTCTTTTTAATACGTGTGATGCTTCTTACAACATCTTACAGGAGAAGTGCCCAGAGCACGTTACTGAGGTCTTGGTGGCAGCTCAGCATGAGCTCAGGAGCTGGACTGAAGTGATACAGACACTTACATTGTGAAGGAAAGAAAGAAAAAAACAACGCACAAGGCCTAACCATTTGTTTGTATGTGTATCTTCCTTGGTAGATTAAAGTTGCCTGTTTTGAGTTCACCAGCAATAAAAAAAAAACTTGTGATTTATCCACCTCGTCCTAACTCTGCAGCAGGAAGAAGACAGGGGCCCTGTGCTGCTTTTTGAGGAGGGTGGGGAATGGGAGTGGTGGATTTTGGGCTCAAAGTACCCCAGGGTTCTACTTTTGACTCTCTTGTATTGCTTATCCCTCTCTCTGTCCGTCCTAAGGGGTGCCCATGTACATGATAAAATACAGTTCTGCATCCTCGGCACACGGAGCAGTTCAAGCACTGTTGTGATGATGTCTGTGCACATTGCAGTGATCTTGCCAGAGGGAAACAGTTGGTTCAAAGCAGGACTAGACCACATTTTGATCTTGGCGTTATAATTGAGAGAAATGTGTACATATGTACCAGGTATAATTATGCCTTTGGTCTGAGTGCATTTTCTGATTAAAGCAGAATAATCCGATCAACCTTTTGCTTGACTAGTCCTGTGACTATAAAAGGTAAAAAATGGCTGAAGGACTCAAGCTTCTGGAGAATTAGGAAGCTGGTGGCAGAAGTTCTCCTGCGGCCAGTAGTGTTGCTCTGCTACTGACTTTTTGTAAGCAGCACTGAAAGAAAGGGGATTTCTTCATTCACAGGAACACCTGACCTCTGACTACTATGAATAAAACATGAACCACCACCAAGACGTGAACTGAAACCAAACAGATTTCTGTTTTATTTTTTTGCTGGGCCATGAATATGTGCACTATACCCTGAATTCAGGGGGACCTGCTCTCTTTGCTTCAGGCTTTTTGCTTGCAAACTGCAGCTGAACCATCAGACAAGGAAACCGCTCTCTTCCCCTTCCTTCCTGTGTGTTTGCAGCTACCGCCTCCCCCTGTAGAAGGAAATTCTTCCCTGGTGCATCCCTGCTCAGTCAGAAGTCATTCCCACTGTGACACCTCACCCAGCTGCTTTGGCACCCATGCACAAGTAGGCTCATGGAGCTAGGGAGGCATGAGGAGTGCTGTCAAATGGCCACCTCTCATGCCTGCCTTCCCACACACCCCTGATGTGTCTGCTCGCAGCCCCAGACGTCCCACACAGGTGCTGGAGGAAGAAGTGCTGTCTGGAAGTAAGTCCAAGGGAGGCATGGGTTTGTTGGTGTCCAGCCCACCACTTCTTCAAAGACAAAGCTGCACTTGCCCAATGAGTTCTTTACTATAGGTTGCCCAAACCTCCTCTGAGGAGGAAAGGAGCTTCAAAATCTCATCTTTTTTTTTTTTTTCTCAAGCAGATTCTCTCCTACAGCTCCATGGAAAAATAGTGATATGCGAGCTGTTGCTCATTCAACTCACAGAGGTACTGAAATGCCCTCAGCTCTGCGCTCTATCTTGGTAAGGTAGCCATGCTGAGACATAGGACACTACAGTGCTCAGGGTGCTGCCTGTGGCACTCTCAGCACCTGGATTAACCTACGAGCCTACTCAGGAATGCATTTTGCTGTATAAGTTGTACTCTTAATTCCATGGGTTCCAAAGGAAATGTTTTTCATGTGAAAGCAGTAGGTTAAAAGAGAAAGACTGAGATACAATAGATACAATACATCTTCGTTACCATTTTTGATCTCACTTGAAAGCATTTTGTTTAAAGTTCCAGATACTTACTTGAGCCTCTAGCTACCAAATGTGGGAAGGTGCTTGTCAAGGCCATGGAAGATATCACTAGTACCACTTAATGCAGGTGTGCTGTGCATGGTGTGCTGCACTGCCCCAGCACAGCCTGGGAGAGCTTCCAGTGCACGAGGACTACAACCAGAACTGCTGATGTAAGTGCTGGGTAATGGCAGCCCTGCAAGGCCTGCTGGTGACATCTACATTCCCAAATCTTCAGGATCTGGACGGGCTGGAAGCAGCTATTTCCTGTTCTCCGTGTCTGGGACTTCTTGCAGGTGGAAAGCAGTGTGGCAGGGTTTGTTCTGGCAGAAGCAGAGCATTTCTTTGACTCCTTCCTCTAGAGCCCAGGCTGCTCACTGCTGTTGCAGCTATTAGATTTCAGATGTGAACGGCCTTTGTCAGCTCCTCAGAAAAGAGCAGTTTTGGAATGGTAGTTACAAATGCTTGATGTTAGTTTGTAGAATGGTTTGTCAATTAAGGAGCTAACGACACGTATGTATCTGCAAGTTCTTATTTATATGACTGAGTGGCATGCTGTCCTGCTTTGATGCTATAAAGAAGGAGAAAGAAATATACTCTCTTTGTTTTTTAATAATTAAAAAAAAAAAAAAAAAAGAGTAAACATGCAGTTGAAACAGTATTTGTTACATAAGTGAACACTATAAGCGTGGTGATTGTAGATATCTGGCCTTTCAAACTCAGGACATTTTCCAGTACAGAATGTGTGATTAGCTCCCATTGCAACATATCTGTACTGCTACTTTGGCATGGCTCTTCTCATTGTGTTTTGGGGGATGAGGGGAGGGAAGGAAGGGAAGGGAGCTCCCTGTATTGGACAGAAACTCATCTAAGAAGCTGGGCAATCCCTGGTTATGGCATGACACAGGGACCCTGGGCACAGGGTTGCTGTAGAGAAACCTCTCTTTACCAAGGGTTTGGACTAGATGATCTCCAGAGGTCCCTTCAACACCTCTGATTCTGTAATTCTGTGGTTCTGTTGTGACGCATTTAGTTGGAATTTGGGAACCAGTTTAGTACACCGCATTAGGGGAGTCTTTTTTTGTAAGACGTGTTTATTCTGCTAGCCTGGAGCACAGAGATTTTCCTTCTTTTCAGAAGGCTGTTATGTTTTTTACTGCTTGGTAAATGGGTTTTTGATAAACACAGCAGTCTGCCTTCAAAGTTACCATTCCTGTATTTGAATCAGCACCTTCTACTCTTATCCACAGCAACATCTATCTCTACTTTTCCCATTTCAAAGCCAAATTTGGCTTGCTTTAAACCCTATGTCTCCTCCATTGGTGTGCACAATTTTGGTTCCAGACTGCCCTGTGTGTTACAGCCCTGGGAGCAGCAGGATGCCCACAGGTCAGAGGCTTGTAACTGAAAAAATTCCTTCTGCTTTTCACTGGAGAGAAGTTGCCAGCAGCCACCTGCACGCAGTCTGCCCAAATGCACATGAAGGGGCTGTCAGAGCTGATACATAGCATGGGTCTATTATGTTCAGAATAGAACTGCTCTCCCTCCCTTTACTACATTATCCCATCTTCATCAGCAGAGTACTTTGGGGTATGTATTGCTAGGGGCAATAAACTATGTTAGAGACTAAGAGGAGATGACCATCTGCTCTATCAGCTCTAGTTGTTACAGTTACTGCAGAGCTTATCTACATTGCTCCTTCTGCTGACATCTTGTGCCACAGCTCTTCCTTGTGCCATTTCTCCATCAGCAATTTTGGCAACCTGTCACTTTCTATGCCTTACATCCATTTTGCAAACACAGGTACTCTAAGCTTCCTTTCAGGAGCTTTCCTTTGGCAATTTAACACAAATGTGCTAATTATTGATGAGCTGTAGCATCCACTGAAGCCCACAAGAGCTGCAGTTGTCAGGGCTTTGGAAGCTCAGATCAGAAAGCACTTTACACACCTGTCTTCAGGCACTGGGATAGCTGCAAGCTTGCAATTAATTTTCAGTGCCTTTGCTATCACATCCACACAATGGCATAAAATAGGCTTTCAGGCCTAAATTCAGCTAAAAGGTTGCCTTGTCTGTCTCTGAATTTCAATGTGTGCAGAATAATATGCAATTTCAAATGATCCTTCTCACAAATGCCTATACACATAGTGAGTGCATGTGTGTTTAGATGCACAAACACAGCCAAGGGCCTCTGTACTGCACCACTGACTGCATCAGAGCTAGTACTGGTGAGGAAGAACTGTAACTGCTTAGTGCAAGCAGCACTCTGGCCCATTTCCTCTGCTCCTCCCTGAACATCTAAGAACCAGAGAAGAGTCAGGATGAAGATCTGTGTGCTCATGGAGCAGCCTAGGAGAAGTGCTGTGTCTGCATGTTTTACATGGGGCTTTAAAATCAGATTAATATCTAAGACAGACATGCCACACCCCTTTAAAAAGAGGTAGTTACTGCTATGTGGACATCCTCATAAAAGGACATTTTTTACTTAATTCGAACTCATGACAAATCCCCATTGAGGTAGAACAGGTCATTTCCCCATGTGCTTTGTGTCAGTGGGTTGAGGACACTGAGGGCCTGGGACATGCCCCAATGGGCTGCATGGCTCCCTCAGGTCACTTCAGGCAAATCTAGGAGGGTTTGCAACTCCTCTGCATGTGGCTTCTCAGCTACACGTTCTTGCTGTATGAACACCACCTCCTCAGGCCCGTTGGTGCTCTCTATTCCTCTGTATTAGATCTGAGCATTCTGTGATCCTCTGAGAAACTCTTCCATGCTTTCTATTTCATCATCTTGTCCTCACCCCTGCAGTCCTCTTGCTGTATTGGTGCTGCTGTTACTGTGCCTGTTTCTTGTTCCCCATCCCCTATGCAGTTCAGCTGACCTGTCAGAATATACCCTTCTCCCCATTCCTGTCTGTCATGCCAGCCCTACAAACCCCAGCAAATTAGATCATCTACATATCTATTTCACATATTTATGAGTGAGATGCTAATCCCCACATAGTGGAAGGGTCATATGTACAAAAGGGGAAGCAAGGACAGCAATATTACAGGGAGAAGTGGGGGAAGGGAGGCAATGGTGAGGGAAGGGCAGATGTCAAGGATAGGAGTATTGGAAAAAAATGCATAAAAATGAAATGTATAAAGAAGAAAGCAGCAGACACCACTCATCACTGTGTCTTTTTGATACAGACACCCCTGGTTCTCTTTCACTGTGCCATTAGAGCTGCTCTGCCACACAGACCCACACTGCAGGGTGTCCTTGCAGAGCCCTTGCCTAACACCTGCCAATTCCTTGGCTCCCAGTGCAGCCACAAGCCACTGCCGGGCTCCCTGCAGGCATAGGATCCACAGCTCCATCTCCCATCTGTTCTTCCTGGAGTACAGAGCAGGTGAAATGGCTGTTGGAAACCATAGGCACCTCT